ACCCCGCCGGTGAACCCGATGTACCGGAACCGCCCGGCCCCCCCCCCCCCCCCCCCCCCCCCCCTACGCCACCTATCCGGCCGCCCAAGTCATTGGGCACTCCAGGCTGTAGACTTCCTAGTTGTTGAACTGTAAACGGCCAAGCAGAGAGAGCGGGCAGCGACGGCAGGGGCGGGGCGGGGAGGGACGGGAGAGCCTGGACGTTCAAGGACTACCGAATTCATGGAGAGGGTCCCCTTCGGGTCGTTGGTGCTCCGACGCGCCTCCGTGTGGTCGTAATTAAAACTTCTCCGAGAAGTGAGCACAAATATGTCCCGAACTAAGGACCGACGTTTCGTGAGCAAACGGCACGCTGCTCGAACGCGCAACACACCTCTGACGAAAACAAGCGCCCCCGTTCGATGGAAATCAACAGTGCGCACATAAGACACCATGGGAGGGGATACGGGGGAAACTACCAGACGGTTCGCCGTGAGTTGCACGGCGATAGGACCTTTACAAACCACTCGAATATTGCAGCGTGGGCGAAACACTCGAAAACCGTGATGCGTGGGTCCAAACGGGGGGGGGGGGGGGGGGTAGTAAACTTTTACGCGCTAACTAAGTGAACCCGTTATACGTACACGAGCTGCAAAAGAGCAAGCAAGCACCTCAAGCAGCGACTACTACCAAAATAAACACACACGCAAATGATAAACACGCTCAGTTTTCTTCTGTTGTTGCTGTGGTACCTGTCTTTAATCCGGAGAGTGTCTAGCATAAACTCCCCCATGACGCTCCGTCACAGGGTCCCAGATCGTGGCCATTAGAAGCATTTCGTGTTATTTTTCAAACCGCACTAAGACTGACGTCTTTTCATTGGTCAAACGGTTAGCGCGGTCGATGCTACCACGAAAAAAAACACACACGCACACCTTGAAGAAAATGACGTCCGCGTCCTGGACCACGTACTTCTTGCCCTGTTGCCGGAGCTTCCCCGCCTTCTTCACCGCCTCCTCGTCCCCCAACTCCTTCAGGTCCTCGAAGGTCATCACCTCCGCGCAGATGAACCCCTTCTCGAAATCCGTGTGGATCACCCCTTGCGACACAAAGGCCACGGAATCGGCGGCGGGAGGGTTGGAGAAGAGAGAGAGAAGAAAAGGGAAGGCGAGAGAGTTGGATGGGCGGATAGGGGGAGAGAGGAGGAGGGGAGGAAACTTCGGGCTACTAACAAACACCGCGGATCATGTCATCATCAGCCATATTTTTTCATCAGCGGCTGAGGTCTATTTGGTCGACCCCCTACTGCATACATCTCGTCCCCGCAACTGGTACTACACCCTCTCCCCTAGCCACTCACCCGCGGCTTGCGGCGCCAGCCAGCCGTCCTTGATCGTCCAACCTCGAACCTCGTCCGCCCCCGAAGTGAAGTAGTGGATCAAGTGAAGCGCGTGGTAGCCCGCCTTCAGGATGCGCATCATGGCCGTCTTGTGCGTGGGGTTTGCCTCCTTGTAGGCGTCTAGCGTGCCCGCGAGTTCTTCGTCCATCCACTGCATATATCGCAGTCGGCGGCGGCGGCGGCGGCGGCGGCAGCGGCAGCGGCACGTCAGTCGTCAGTCATCGTCAGGGGGAAAATCGTGATTGCGTACTGTGGGTATGCTGGTGGATGTTTCCGCTCTCCCTATGCGTGAGTGCACCATCTAAACATCAAAACGACTTTACGGCGACCAGCCTCTGCTGCGACACGGCAAAAAAAAAGCGCCGCCGCATGGCCGAATAAATTAAAAGGGACAACAGCAACAACAGCAAAGACAGCAACGACAGCAGAGGTAGCAGCACCAGTAACAGCACTAGCAACAGCACAATAGCAACAACAACAACAGTAATAACGAGCAGAATCAATCAACGAGAAAAAAAAAAAACTCACCTCCTGCTCAAACTCGACGCTGAAGGGGATCATCTGCCCCCCCCCCAGCTCCTCCACCTTCGCCTGGATCTTCGGCAGCCACTTGTTGGCCTTCCGCAGGTAGTCCCGCTTCGAGAGGTTCACCAGGTACACCACCTCCTTCGCGGTCAAGAGCTGGAACTTGTTGAGCACCTCCACGTCGTGCGCCGTCCAGGTGCCGAACCTCACCGGGAGTCTGTGCTCGTTGAGCCAGTCCAGCACCTTCACCTGGGACTCCCACTCCTGGATGGTTGGTTGGTTTTTTCATTCGTCGTCGTCGTGGTGTTGTCGTCATCGCCGTTGGTGTTGTTGTCGGCGGTGGAGAGACAGACGATGGGACAAGAAGCCAGCCACACAGGGGGGGGGGGTCACATTGTTGAGTTGTGTCGTCGTCGTGGTGGTGTTGATGGTGGTGTCACGGTGTCATCGTCGTTGTTGTTGTTGTTGTTGGCGGTGGAGAGACAGACGATGGCACAAGAAGCCAGCCACACATGGGGGGGGGTGACGTTGTTGAGGCAAAAAACCGCAGCAATCCAAGAGTGCTTTAACGAAAAAGCATGCATGATCCCTGGTGCAAAGAGAACCCCGCACGCAACCAAGCGGACCGGACAACGCTCGCTTTATCTCTGGAACTCCCTCTGCCGTATGCATTCCCGATCGCACTGCGAAACCTTACTGGTAAAACCATCGAAGGCGCTTGAGCGCGGGAGTAAGGTTGCTGAGCATCGAGAGAGGTGGCTCACTCAACACAAACCGTCCTACGTAGAGTGGTGTGCCACGGCCGACTATGCCCCGGGGCTGGTACGGGAATGCTGGCTCAACAAAATAAGAGGGGTCACGTCCCCGGTTGGACTATAGACAGCGTCATGCTTTTCACAACACAACTTAATAAACATAAAAAAATTGTCATGGGTCTCCAGGACTGAACGATAGGTGTCCTGAAGAAAGCAAACTACCGCGAGCGAAAACACGACGATACGTGTCCAAAGAAAGCAAACCGCCCTGAGGGAAGATATCTCGAATGGAATTTTTTTCCATTCACCCAGCCGGCTACAAGCCTGCAAGGGAACCCACAGCTGTGCAGAGGTTGAATAGCACGATAACTTGACAGGAACCCAAAAAGTTGGCTCATCGCCCCTTTCAGCCACCCACCTGCTTGCGCTCGCGCCCCCCAACCCCACGCTCGACGTTCTTTCGCTCTTTCTCCACCGCGTTTGTCAGCAGCTCAATGTCCTGACAAGAAAGATAGAAAAAAAAGAAAAAAAAGAAAAAATGGTCGCCGAAGGTAAGAGGATAGGGATTTCGAGAAGGGAGAGAAAGAGAGAGAGAGAGAGAGAGAGAGAGAGAGAGAGGAAGCGCGGGATAGACGGGGGAGGAGGCGTGGTCGGGTTGGAAACGGAGGGGATCACCAGAGGGGGTGTCTCAGCACCGCATCGGCAAACCGCAGGCTTCCATGCAACGGGCACACCCAAACAAGACGAAACAACATGGCGACGGGATTTCTTTTTTTTTCTTCTTAATACTTCTAACACAACAAATCTGTGTACCGTAGCAAAGAGGGCTTTTGAAAAACGAGGACACTCGCGTAGTCCATACACACACGAGCAGTTTTGTTTTCTTGCGGAGTGGGACATGCAATATGGATTATCCCTGCCATGAGCACGGCCCTACCGAAGTTGACAACCGTAACAACAAACACCTGCAGGAGCAGGGTGGGTGGGACATTCTGTATGGATCATCCCCATCACACAGTAGGCATGGCCCTACGGAAAACCAACACCAACAATAACGATAACCAACACCTTGAGTAGAAGGGCCGGGGTGGGACAACTCATATGGAATCATCCCCGTTATACGCATGGCCCTACGGAAAATCAACACCAACAATAACGATAACCAACACCTTGAGTAGAAGGGCCGGGGTGGGACATCTCATATGGAATCATCCCCGTCATACGCATGGCCACACGAAAAACCAACACCAACAATAACAAAAACCAACACCTTGAGTAGAACGGCCGGGGTGGGACATCTCATATGGAATCGTCCCCGTTATACGCATGGCCACACACGGAAAACCAAACACCAACAGTAAACCAACAGTAAACCAACAGTAAACCAACAGTAAACCAACACCTTGAGAAGAAGCTCCTCGTTGATGATCTCGATGTCGCGGACGGGGTTGACGTCACCCTCCACGTGGGTAATGTCTGCGTCCTCGAACGCTCGCAGCATCATGAAGATGGCGTCAACGGCCCTGATGTGAGACAGGAAAGCGTTTCCCAGCCCCGCGCCTTCCGCCGCGCCCTGCCATGGACATGGGACCACACGCACGTAACACGCAACACATAAAAAAAAAAAACACAAAACACAACGAGAGAAGGGGGGGGGGGGGGGGGGGGGGGAAAAAAAAACTTTTTAAACCCCCAAGGGAGGGAAAGGAAAAAATTTTCCAAAAAAAAAGGGGCCCCAAACAAAAAAATCGGGAAAAAAAAAAGCAAGCAAAAAGAAAAAAAAAAAAAAGGGAAAAAAA